AATCATGTTTTATCTTTAGGTTCTATGAGGACATTCCTGAAATTCTGTCTTAGATAGTTCAAAACAAATATGTCATACAAGAATATGTATTGCTGTTTAAATGTACCCAGGTAAGCATCATTTCAAAATAGTTTCCTATTCCATACACCAGGATTTACCATACAGCAGACCACCATCCCTGAGGAAGAAGTGCTCTGTGTATGTGGCCTTCTGGTAACACAAGCTAATGTTACCAGAACTCTCTTTTATTTGTCTCTGGTGTTCCAATAAGGACACAACTTCCCTTTGTTCTTCTCATTCCTAGTTCTCTTTCAAATGTAGCTGACCTGGAATGTGGGCCCAAGGTTGCCTTGAGAAGCACAACTTGATCCTGATATTAGCCTATTATTCAATGCCTCCAGGTGACTCCATCTACAATTTCCCAACTGCCTTTCCCTTGAATTTGGCCTGTTAAAAAATGCAATTGAAAAAATTTTGCTGTATTTTAGATGCATCATCTCAACAGTTTATAGCTTTCACTGATACTTGTTTTTCAAAACATCTTTTTTTGTGTCTACACTTAATTTGGTTTTGTTTGAAATTGCTGATAAATCCATTTAGCCCTGTAACATATATGATGAAACCTCATAACTCTTATGAACATGGGTAACTTTGTGGTTATCATATTTAGAAATATGCTCCATATTTGAAAAGCATTATTGAATTTTGTTTTTACCACCATCCTATAAAGTATGTATGACTAGCTCCCCAGTTTGTAGAAGCTGAGCCTCAGAGTGCTCAAGTACCATGTTCTGTTATCACAGTTGGTAGAGCAGGGATTCATATCTAGAACTGTCTCCAAAGCCCATGTTTCTAACCATTTTATTCTACTGTATAGAATACTGAATATTCATATTTTAGGATAATATTAAGGGAAGTCAGAATCATTGTATTAAAGCTGGGAGGACCTTTGCAGATGATGAAATCCAAATACCTCATTGTGCAGATGGCTGGTGGTAGAAGCACCAGCTTTCAAAGTCTTCAGAGAGTAGAAATTGTTGGTTGCTTATTCAACACCCACTCTTCTGTATCCTCTTTCCTAAGGGAATCCTGCTTTTATTTAGGTCTTCACACTTTTCGATGTGACCCTGTGTTTCAAGGGAGGCTGTGCAATTGCCAATTCTAGAGGATAAGTTATGATTGGCCTAATCCATCATGGTGAACCCATTCCCTCACCACTGATTGGCTTAGACACAGGCAGAAGATACAATTTTGGCCAATGAAATATGAGGAAATCTAATGGAGAGTTCCTGGGACTATTTCTTCACTTTAAAAAGAGCCATAGAAAGATACCTGAAGACATCCTGATGTAGGGAGAGGAAGAATGAGTACTTCTATTATTTATTCTTCACTGTGCTATGCTTCCATAAACGACCTCTTATTCTCAGAACAGATGACATGGCAGGTATTATCATACTCATTCACAGGTGAGGAGACTCAGACTTAAGAGCATTAAGTAATTCAGCTGTTAATTGGTAGAGACAGGATTCAAATCCAGAAATGTATGGCTTCAAATGTATCTTATTTTAGGTTAGATAGTTTTACTTTAAAATAAATTTAACATAGGTTTATGTTAATGATTGTGTTGGTAAGTCCCCAATAGTGTGTTCCCTTCTGTGTGTCCAGGTAGAGTTAGGTTCTGAGTCTGCAGAGCTGTGTGTCCTTAGGTCCTTCTCCACCTAGGAGTCAGATGGTTCCTCCAGCTAATGTCTTGGTCAGACAATCCTCTGTAATGACAATACCCTAGAGCCTTGCATGTGATTAGGAAGGTTAAAATCATTCAGTACTGCTGGCTCTGGGGACAGGATTGGGAGGCTCCTTTTGTCTTAATGTTTTACTCCAATTTTTTTTAATTAAAAATATTTTTTGTTAAGACAGAGTCTCACTCCATTGCCCAGTCTGGTCTTGAACTCCTGGGATCAAATGATCTGCCTGCCTTGGCCTCCCAAAGCGCTGGAATTACAGGCATGAGCCACTGCACCTAGCCTTGTCTTGCTGTTAATTCTGAATCACTTGAAGATGTTGACTTGAGTCAGCTCAAATGGTATAGAAAACACCAGTGAGTGGCACAGGTTAGGCAACTGGTTGGTCGGTTTGCTTCCTTGGTTGAATTAACTCAATTGACTGGTATAGGCTCAAGTTAGGAAAAGCCATGCAAATCTCTCCAAATAAAGATGAAAATGTCTGCCTTACAGGGTTGTAGTGAGAACCAAAGTTAACATTCCTTGTACAGTTTCTATCACGTGCTAGGAAACAGAACATGCCAGCTCCGTGAGTCCCCATTTTCCTCGATGCTTCCTTCAAATGTTTAATCAATATAAAAATTATCTAGAGGAGAAATGTTTTTGCGTCTTGTAAACATTGCTAGCCCTGTTACTCAATGTCATTTTTCAAAAAGAATTACTTTAGAATCTAGAACTAAAAATAGGTTAACTTTTCTTTTTCTTTTGGAAATTAAAAAAAAATTTCCAACCCATCTTATGTTCCTTCCTGTCATGGCTTCCAGGAAAATCAGAAGTAAATTTAATTACCAAGGACATTGACCAGCTTGCATTATCTATCTATCTGTCTATCTGTCTATCTGTCTACCTACCTACCTACCTACCTACCTACATTTTGTCCTTATCATCTAGATATCTATCATCTATCTGTATTAGTTCCCTAGGGCTGCTATAATAAATTACCACAAACTTGGTGGCTTAAAACAACAGAAGTTTATTCCCTCACAATTTAGGAGGCCAGACATCTGAAATCAATGTGCCAGCTGGGTTAGTTCCGTCTGGAGGCTCTGAGAGACAACCTGTTTTATGCTTCTCTCCTAGCTTTTGAGGGTTGCCGCATGCTCCAGTCTCTGCCTTTGTTGTCACGTGGACTTTTTCCCTGTGTGTCTCTCCACAGGGTCTCCTCATGATACCCATCATTGAATTTAGGGCCTACCTAAATACAGCATGGCCTCATTTTAACTTCATTAACTACCTTTTCAAAGACCCTGTTTCCAAATAAGGTCACATTCTGAAGTTCTAGGTACACATTAATTTGGCAGGGGGGGTGGGGTGGGGCGGGGGACACTATTTGTTCCAGTACGCTATCAATTTCACTCGGTTTTCACTCCTGATTTATGCTTTTACCTCCTGCTCCCCGATGTTTTCTCAGGTATGCTGTCCAATTGCTCTAATTCGTTTATTCTATAATCACTTACTGAGTGCTACTATATATGAGACATTGACAATCGTAAACAAAATCTTTGCCCCTCACCAAATTCTTCCAGTTTAATGAAGGGATACACTAAAACAAAAACCCAATTAAGTATATGTTTAAAAATAATATAATTTATAAATTATGACCAGTGCTGTGAAATAATGTGAGATAGATGAGATTATAAAGGGAGATAAGATTCATATTGGTCTGGGATTATCAGAGTCTGAGACTCCCAGAATTCAGCTGGGAGTTTATAATGGAAAGGATTCAGCTGAGCAAGTGTCAGAGGATAAAGTATTTGAGGAAGAGGAGGCAACACCATGTACAGGGAAGCCAGGAGGAAAGTGGCATGGGATGGGGCTGAGAGGTGGACAGGACCAGGTCCCATAGGGCATTGTAGGCCATGCCAACATTTCAGATTTTTGTCCCATAAACATGGGAAGCCACTGCAGGCTTCTGAGCAGAAGAATGGTCTGCCATGTGAAAAACAAATTTGAGTGGGCAGGAGTGAAAGCAGAGAACCAGTTAGGAGACTTTTATAGTGGTCCAGGTGAAGAATGATGGCTTGAACTCCAGTGACAACAGTGGAGATGACAACAAATGGGCATATTTGAGGCATATTTTATAGGAGGAAAAGACATGGCTTGTTGATGAATGCAGAAGATGAGATGTGGGAGGCATTAAGGATCCTGCCAGTTTCCAGAATGAGTAACTAGATGGCCAGAGGTGCCATTACCAAGATATGAGGCACAGGAGGAAAAGTAGATTTAGGAGGGAAGATCAAGGGTTCAGCTTTTGACAAGTTAAATTTGAGATGCCTGGAGGACATTCAAGTGGAGATGTCAAATAGGAAGGTGGATATATGGTCTAGAGCTGGGAAGATGGGTCTGTGTTGAACTGCAAATTTGGAAGTTCTTGGCAAACAGAGACTATTTGAAGCCATTATATTGGCTTTAGGTGTTTTTTGTCTTTTTTAATTGTCAAGCTGACCTTGTTCAGGTATATTTGGCTTCTCTTTTAAATATTGGAGCCTGTGGCTCTGGTTATACCTTCCAGTCTCTTATTTTAATCATCCAATTTCTGCCTTATTTTGTAGGTTTCTTTCTAATTACATTGTAAAGTCAGAGTATTGCAATAGAGAGAAACAGATTCTGATTATTTGTGTGCCTTGGAGAAACTACTGAGTATCTCTGGGTATTCTTTTCCTAACTATAAAAGAACGGAATTGGTTGTTTTCAGTTTTAAAAATCTATGACTCTGTAATCTAAGAGGTACTTTCTAAGGTATGTCTTTTTTCTCCATTCGCAGAGATTTTAGGTGGTCACCATCGGCAAATTAGCAAAGTTTTGATTAGATTTTGCAGGATATTTTGAAGTACACATCATGTCCAATAATTAACGATTAAATCAAACACTGTTCATGTCAGTCTCAGATACTATTGCTGGAATTCATGTCAGTCTCAGATACTATTGCTGAAAAACAGCATTTCTTCTGTACTTGTGGATATAGGTTATGGGGAAAAGTAGAAATTTAGATATTTACTCACCAAAATAGCATCACATTTAAATCTAAGACACACCCACTTCCCTGTAAATTCCTATAGGATTTGGCACTTTTTGGGCAAAGTAAAAAGTAATCCAAATATTATGTAAAAGCCTAGTAAATGCAATAACCTGGATCATGAGGCACAAGCAACAGCATTTCCTTGTGTCTTCTGAGGTAAAGCTATACAATATGTCACCATTTCAGCAGTCTTTCCATACCTCAGTGACAGCAAAGCTTCTCTTGCCACAGGGAACCACCTTGTACCACTTGTCATGGAGCACATCCATAACCCCGTGTGACTTGTATTGACTGATTAGCTCGGATATGTTGGAGGTCAGTGGAGAGTTGGGTGGGAGGCCAATGCCGTATCCTAGGAGAAAATACAATCTCTGATGAATTTTTTACACTCTTCCTGAGAGATCACCACCATAGTTCATACTTGTGTGCTACTGCCATCGGACCTAAAAAAAGGGTATGATGAGTTTTCATCAACGTTCTTTCAAAGCACTCAAAGACATTCCTAGTCATGATTACCCTTAAATCAGTGGTATATCTGAGTAGATAAATTGAGTCAGAAAAGGAGAGGAATGGGCTGTGCACAGTGTATTAGTGAAACATTTTAAGATCTTCTGCCTTTCCATTTAAGATATTTCTTTGAGGCAATCTTTGAGGTCTTTATCAGGGCTATGATTCTCTATCTACCTCTTCCAGAACCCCTCTTCTGAAACTTAAATATACAAAATCGGATTAATCATGGTCTGTGGTTAATGACAGTCTCTTATCACTGTTAATGCATGACCCTCTCTTACATTTTTAAATTTATTTTTTATTTTTGAATAACATAATAAGACCATGTAAATAAACAATATGATATGAGAACTAAAACCTCAATAGGAACTTATAAAAACCAACTTAAATTGTCCAAAAATAAATAAGAGGTAATACCAACTTTTAGAGAAGATGAGGATCAACAAGATTATATATTGCTTGCTGTAATACAAACGGAAAATCGATACAACCATTTTGGAAAGCAGTTTGGTATTATTTTGTATGGTTGAACATTTACATATTTTAAGACCAGCAATTCTGTTCCTGAGTCCCTTCTCAAAGATCTCCTCCACAGGCATACCAGGAGATGTGTACAAAAATGTTCTTAGAGGAACCGTTCATGATAGCAAAAATTGGAAACAACCCAAATGCTCTTTGACAAGAGAATGAGTAATGAAACTGTGGACTATGTGCACAGATGGAATATTAATAATAAAAACTATATGAACTAAAACTAGGTGCAAGACCCTTAGTAATATGCCATTGAATGAATAAGCTAAATTCCAGAAGATTACTTGCAGTGTGAATTAATTGTGTAAACATTAAAACATTCAAAACAACACAATATTGTTTTAGGAATACATATATATGCATATATATGTGATAATCCTTTTCCTTTTTTAAGACAGGGTCTTGCTCTGTTGCTCAGGCTGGAGTGCAGTGGTGCTACCACGGCTCATTGCAGCCTTGACCTCCTGGGCTCAAGTGATCCTCCTGGCTCAGCCCCCTGAGTAGCTGAAATCACAGGCACACACGGTGTGACTGACTAATTTTGTATTTTTTGTTGACATAGGGTCTCGCCGTGTTGCCCAAGCTGGTCTTGAATTCCTGGGCTCAAGCAATCCACCCACCTCAGCCTCCCAGAGTGAAGGGATTACAGGTATGAGTCATGTGCCCAGCCAGTGATAATACTCATTTAAAAAAAAAAACAACAAGGATATGATAAATGAAAGGTAGTAATGCAGGGCAAGGGAGGCAGGGGAAGGAATGGGGGAGAAACATAAAGATGGAGTTAATTTGTTGTCAGAGTTTTATTAATCAGCTTAGACTATCCTCACACTGTGTGGCTTTACTTGCTTTCCAAAATGTTACTATACTGTTAATCTCTTTGATGAGCCATGTCAAAGAGGCTAATTAACTACATTTTATTTTAGCTATTGGACAAAATAGTAAAAAAAAAACCCAAAAACCAAAAACATTTTTTTTTGGGCTTCAATATGATTGAGGAAGATAAAATAAAAATATTGTTAGTTATTTTTTCATGGATAAATACTAAAAGGTTATCAAGCATCTGAAGATACTTAATAGAAACAAATACCTCCTATAATTATTCTATCTTAGGACTCAATTTCAAGAACACTGGGTTTTGTTCCTTTTTAAATGCAGATACACAATCTTTTTCTTAAAAAAAAATAGGCTTGAGATGTGTGTATAACCAATAAAAGAGATGAAATAATGCAGAAAAAACCCTGAGTTTTAATGGGTTGTATTTTTTTCTGATAATAATATTATTTGTTCCTTAACAATAGGGAGTCAAGAAAATGATGACAATGTCAAAAGCATGATTAGCATTTTCCCATTCAAAGATCTATTTTGAGTGCCTGTTTTGTGCCTAGTAGTTTTGGTTTGAAAGGCAGAACTGTTAACCAAAGAGTTTGAATGGGTAGCTTTTTGTTCTGCTGATGTTATTATTAAATAACATTTTAAAATATAATGGGTAATTTATTAGAAGGAAGTAATCAGTTTTCTTTAGAAACATAATGAATGCAGTTGCCAATTCAACTGCACAAACGTTTATTCAGTACTTCTTGGCACATCAGGCACAATACTAGGCACAAGTATATCATAATATTCATTGATTCACTGACTCACTCACCCATTCATTTGTTCACTCATTCATTCATTTATCCAACAAATAAGTAAATAGGCACCATGTTAAGTGGTCAGGATTTGGCAGTTACCAAGGTAGATATGATCTCTGCTGTTATGGGATGTACACTCTACTGGGGAGACAGATAATAAACAATACACAGCATAATTATTATTACATTACAATTGAGATAGATGCCATAGGGAGAACTGAACCATATAAGAACGAAGTGTGGAAGGACTTGCTACTATCTGGTAGGAATGTGATGATGGTTCAGATTAGCCAGGTTTGTGGAATATCAATGTGTTTTTCCTCCCTGGATCCATAGTTTGCAACAACAACAACAACAGCAACAGATTGGGGCACACAGTTCAGTTAAATCATCTTTGGATTCTAATAATTAGTACTAGGACATACTGAGCTCTGCTGTATGCGAAGTGCTATTCCACATGTATCCATCCCTACATGAACCGATACCACAGTGTGTATTACTTGGAGACTTAAAGATTGAATAAATAAACTTCCAAGGTCACACAGCTAGTAGTTGGCAAAGCCAACATTTTAAAGTAGGTCTATTTGATTTTAAAACCAATGCTCTTCTCACCATGTCCATTACAACATGTGACCACATCAAAGAAATACTTATTTCCTTCCATTTAATGCAGGCCCCAACACTATATGCACACCAATGTAACACTTAAACCAGATAATTCATTTAGAAAACACAATCATCTAAACTGTTGATTTGTTTCTAGTAAATACAAATATACATTGTTCACAGTCAGATTTTACTTATAAACTTTTCTACGTTATGTAGAAATAGTGTGAAAACAGCTCTAACTTATACATGATTACATCTGAGAAAATTCACTAGCAAGAACACTCACTAATTATATTGTTTCTCCTAAAATCCTCTGAAAGCTAATCATTCCAACCTACATTAATCATGGCAGAATTGTTTTTCATTTGATAATCATTTATTGTGCATGAATTCATTTATTAATTCCATAAACCTGGGTTGAGTACTTATTCTGTGTCAGGAACTCCTTCATATGCTCTGGAGGTTACCAAGTTAAAACAGCTTAAATTAAGTTACCACCTTAATTCAAAAAATTAATGAATTAAGTTACCAACTTAAAGTTACTTAATGAATTAAGTTACTAATTTGAATTCAAAAAAGGTAAAATATAATGCCTAGGGCACAATGAGGAGGACAGATGAAACTCTGGAAATCCAGAGGAACAAGAAATTGATACCAGCGGAGAGGATGAGAGATGTCATCTTGAATTGTTTCTTGATCCTGATATTTTGGTAGATTAGACAAATGTATATGATAAGAAAGTTTTAAATTTTGAACTTCATACTTATGATAAATCTACATATTCAAAGAATAGAATTTCGGTACTAAAATTCCCTAATGAAAATGTTGAGGTTTCAGAGACATTTATAAAAATTGTTACACAAGAAATAATAAATATTAAATCACTCCACTTGATCATGTCTAGGTTAATTTGCAATTGGTTGCTAAAAATGGATTACTATCCCTTTAACATTTCTATTTTAATGTATTGAATATTGAGATTTTAATGATTTCTAGCAATAATAATTATTTTTAGCTAATTAAAACAAACTATGAACATGGAATGAGGGAAAAATAGAAAAATAAATTATGTGATGATGAGAGGAGTTATTTGTAAAAGAGATAAAAATCCATTTTATTCAGAAACATAAAATAGTAAAACCTTGAGGGCTTTATTTCTGTCCCCACTTATCAGTTGCTTTTCAAATTTGCTTGTGTTCATTGGTCAAAGAATTCTGATTTTTAAATTGCTGACTCAACTTAGCAGCCTGAGTTGTGTTTGTTATTATTAGAAACATGGTTTTGCAATAAAGACGGGGTTGACTATTTTGTGGTTGATGGATGAAGCAAAATGGAATCCTTCAACCCTAAAGATGAAGGCATCAGGCATCCTGGAAATTGGATACAGCTTAATAGCTCAAGAGAACAATTTTCAGAATAGAATCCTGATCTCTTAACCATGGATAAATCAGCTTTACTCAGCTAAGAGTGGTGGAAATATATTTTGGCTAGCAAATGTATAGTTAGAAATTCATAGACTAAACGAATCTTCCTAACTGCAGTTGGAAAGGAGATATTTTGAAAATAGCATCTCAGATAGGGTTAAAAAGGCTTCAGGGAGAAAGATTTATTCAGTTTTGCAGTCTGTCCTTGGAATACCATATTTCGCTACTCTGGGACAATGGTTAAGAACATGTTGTAATGGTCCCAACTATAAAGAGACTATAAAATAGGTTTCCCTTAGCCTCAGTACATCAAAATGGGGAGAGAAATGTGTGGGAGAGTTGAAACTTAGGAAGACTATCCTGGAAGAATTTTATGGTGAATTGGTCTCAATTTATTAATTCAATATACCATATAATAATAATTTGTTGAGCACTTCTTATAGAGCCAAACAAGTTTCTACAGTACATGCTTTATATGTATTACTTAATCCTCACAACAATTCTATTACAAATTTCCTATTCATCTCCCCATTATGCAGATGAGGAACCCGAAGAGTAGATTAAATAGCTTACCAGTTAATAACAGCAATTTTATCCTATCCCAAGCCCTCAGACCCCAAAGCCAGTGCTCCAAGCACTGTATTAAATAATTATTAGAAAGCAAGTAAAAGAACAAACTCAAAAGCAGGCAAAGGTCTTTAGCAGAAAGGTCACACATCATTATTGTGCAGTTACATTACCCTTTCTCCTAGTTTGAGCTTTGTTGTCAGCTAACTCCAATGCACAAACTGGAGACATGTATTCATTTATTTCAACACTTTCTTTTTTTCTCCCCTGCACACAATATGTATTTGTGCCCCTGGTATATGGTATTTGATTCAACCAAAGGCTCTCCGCACGCTTTCAAATCCTTGATAATTTGGGTTTGCTCTCCTGTATACTCTTGGGTACAAATGAGCACTCCTGAAAGGGTTTCAAACTCAGTGTGGAGTCACTGTCTCTTATTTGCCTTATTTTTTCCTTTTAGGTCAAAATAAATATAGAATGACGAAGCTGGGAAGGATAATAGTTAGCTTCATCTGTTCAGGCTTCTATAACAAAATATCATAGACTGAGTGACTTATAAACAAAAGAAATTTATTTCTTATAGTTCTGGATGCTGGGAAGTCCAAGAGCAGAGCACTGGTAGATTTGGTGTCTGGTGAGGGACTGCTTTCTGGTTCATAGATGGTGCCTTGTAGCTGGGTCCTCAAATGCTGAAAAGGGTGAATGAGCTTTATTGAGCCTATTTCATAGGGGAACTAATTCCGTTTTATTAGGGTGGAACCTTTATGACCTAATCACCTCCCACTAGGTCCCATCTCCTAATATCATCACCTTGGGGATTAGATTTCAACATATGAACTTTCGGGAGGCACAAATATTCAGACCATAGCAGTAGTTACACTGAGTGTCACACATATGTGTTACTACTGTATAGAGTGATGGTAGGTACATTCAACATGAATGAATCATTGCACTGTTTTCTCTTGTCTTAGTACATTTAAACATTTTGGAAAGTATAGACACAAGCTATTAACTACCTAAGTGAGTGAACTAGGTATATATTTCAAATGTAATTAGTTATTTAATAGGTAATAGATCATTTATTACATAAATGTTATATGCCTAGCATTGTACTAGACCGTGTGAAAAGCTATGGGTAGGCATCTAAAAGAGTCTTGTAAGCTAAATGGCCAAGTATTGCTCATAAACTGCTTTGATGATTTTTTTTATACCTATGCAGTCTAAATAATAAAGCTCACATTTTAATAAGTTCAAGAAATGTAAATGTTATTAAAGGACAGCATATAATATTTTTAACAATTTAATTGAGAGAAATATGAAAATATTTCTTTCAGTTTGAGAGTCAATTAAATTAAATTTAAATTAATTTAAATTAAATTTTAATTCAATAAATAATTGAAATATTGAGAAATATTTTCATATTTCTCTCAATTTAATTGTTAAAAATATATGCTATCCTTTAGTAACATTTAAATTTCTTGAACTTATCAAAATGTGAGCTTTATTATTTAGACGGTAGGTGGCTCATGCCTGTAATCCCAGCACTTTGGGAGGCTGAGGGGAGCGGATCACTTGATGCCAGGAGTTTGAGACCAGCCTGGCCAAAATGGTGAAACCCTGTCTCTACTAAAAATACAAAAATTAGCTGGGCATGGTGGTGAACACCTGTAATCCCAGGTATTTGGGAGGTTGAAGCATGAGAATCACTTGAACCTGGGAGGCGGAGGTTGCAGTGAGCTGAGATCATGCCACCGCACTCCAGCCTGGATGATAGAGTGACACTCAGTCTCGAAATATATATATATGTATATATATATGAAATTCATATTTTTAAGAAAAGTAGCAATCAAGACTTTGGCTAGTATTTCTACCACATTGCTTTGTGTAATTTATATGTATCCTCCCTTTGTGTTTTATTGAGTTAGGTTTTTGGGGTATGAACTTATTGTCGGGGCAGTATTGAATTAAATTTTCTGATGTGTACCCCATCCATTTTGAGAATAACCTCACAATGATGGTAATATGCTCTCAATTGAAACCTGCAGTCTTCCTGCTCTCTTGCAGGGAGGGCTCTTCCATTCGCCATTTTGTGCCTATCTCCTTTGAAAACAATGTGATTTCTAGAGATGATGGGAACTGCAAGAGGCTAAGTCTCAGGAGCACAGATGGAAATGTAAACAGGAAACCAGTGGGGAGTTAATTGCGTGGCATCTGGCACTGGGGTCCAACAGAGGCAAACAAGCCATCTTACTACCACTGTCTTTTGACAAGATAGAGTTGTTCCCTGAAGATAAAGGTGGAAAATGGAGCCCCTCATTCTTAGGTCCTCTATATATGATTCATTGTTAGTAGCTCCTAATGGCAGAAGGGACCTCAGCTACCCAGTGCATCTAGGACAGAAATAAAATGTAACATCCCTAGATGCTACAAAAAATGAGAAATTTCCCATTGTTACATAAAAATGGGATTATGTACTGAATGTTGTTTGCTTTTCTAGCTTTTTCTTTTCTGCCTTTGCTTTCTTAAATGGTAGTCTTAATATAAGACCAATACTGCTAATTGCCTCTCAGAAATTTCTGAGTTCCATCCCTGCTTCAGGTGGGGGTCACTTTGCCTGGAGAAGGGACTGATTTCTGATAGGAGAAGACATGAAGAAATAGCATCAGCTATAACATTCTCATTTATCACAAAAACAAAGACAGAGGTAAAAAATCTGCTGACGCATTTAGAGGAGACAGAGACCAACTGTGGCTGGGAAATTGAAATCAGAATAGTCTTGATATCCTAGTTAACAAACAGGAAAGTACAGATTTCTGGAAATAGCAGTTGGGCACCCCCATGGGATTGTTTCAAGCTAAAGTGTTTTCTGCAAAGTGAGCATGGCTGTCTTGAGAGCCAGCAGGTACTGTCAGGGAAGGGAAGCTGGGAATTGGAAAATGTGAAATTTACTGGTTCAAACTGTCAGCTCCATATATCGACCATCACTCAGAATGAAAGGAGCTACTGACAAAGCAATCTTTCTTTGGTTCTGAAGTTTGATTGATTGGGTGATCACATTAGAAGGAAAAATTTGCTGCTAGTGGGGAAAAAGATCGGAGATCCCAAACAAGGATCCAAGATTTTGTCTGGGACTCCAAAGGGCTTTAAACTAGAATAAGTTTTTTTTCTACTTATTTTTCAACTAGTGGAAGAACACTTATTTAAAAACAATGAGCTTTAGATTTCAGTCCCAGTATTATCATCTTATTGTACAATTATGAAAATGTCATGTCATGTCCTTGGGCTTTTTTGTTTATCAAATGAGTAGATTGGATTAGATCAATATTGGGGCCCTTCCAGTTGTAAAATGTAATCATTCTAGTTTTGCCATCAGATTTGCTACAGTATTTGGCTGTCAAAAAATACAGATTTCCCTGACTTATTGGAGGTTGAGGTGGGAGGATCACTTGAGGCCAGGAATTGGAAACAAACTTGGGCAACATAGCAACAAAACCCCCTGCTTACACACACACACACACACACACACACACACACACACACACACCCCAGTTGATTAAATTCAAATCAACTCCCTATTTCTTACACTGTGCCACCACTCCCAGATATCTGAAGCAACATCATTTGGGTAACAGTGATTTTCTCCCCCTAACAATTGGGTAAATAAATATTTGTTGAATAGGTGAAGAATAAATTCCTAACTTCAGCAGCTTAATAGCTAAGTGCTTATGAGTTGAAAAAGAAAATGAGGGAAGATGAATAGCTCTTTGCTTCTGACTTTGGCATTTGTGACTTGCTAGGTTGGCAAACTGAGCACATCCGGAGTAAAAGTGAATCAAGAGTGACTGATTAATACCTTCTATGGCAAATGGCTTCCCCACAGTGAGAAGTTTGCAGTCAGCATCTATTGACACCTCATAATCCAGAAGGGCTTTGTCCATGATGAAGGCGTCTAGTTTCTCTGGATCATTCCTGTATTTAAGACCAGAGGAGAAAAGTGAAAATGATTCATTAATGGGAAGGAAGCACGAAGGCTGAAAGCAGGCTTTTGTTTAGGGAACAGAAACCTGGACACAAAGGGCAGCACAGGCTACCTAGCTGCTGACTTAGCTGTCTTGGCTTCTCACTGACCTCTAGACTATAGACCAGGGGAGACAGACACTCTTATAAAAGAGTATGACATTTTTCCAGTGGGTTTATCTACCAGTTTCTTTCATTACTTCTAAATCCATCAATATAGCTAGAGCCACTCTGAATTGAATAGGAAGATGGATAGAGAAGGTTCATTCTCATTATACCATTAGAGTGATTTCTTGTTGTTAGGCATTGCCTTCATTGTTCTCTATACTTTATCACTCAGAATGACTATGATATGAAAGATGAGGAAACTGAGGCTCAGAGGGTTGAAGTAACTTCAACCAGGTTACATAGACAGTGTTGGGGCCAGGGCTTCCACTTGAAAAGAGGGCAAGGAAGGAGAAGTTTTAAACAGAAATAACTGTCTAAAATACATGCAACAGCTTCTTTGTTTTCAGCCACTTCCAATTCTTTCTGGAAAGGTGAAAGACATAAGTCCATTTAAGAAAGGATTTTCTATCAGGAAAAGTTTCAGAAGAACTCTTGGCCTAATTTGCTTTTATTGTGACTATGTCATGAGCCCATCCCTGGATATTGCTACATGGAAATGGACTATTAGCTGGGTGGTGTCATCTGGAGCCAGGGGTAGGGTAAGCCCCACATAAATCAGTGAGAGTAGAAGAGGGATGAAGAAATGTAGGATGCTGTGACCAAAAAGAGGGAATGGATTTTGTAAAGACGAGAAAAGCAACTATTTTGTGCACTGTGTTATCTCCCCAATTAAAGTATAAGTTTCTTGAGAACAAGAACTCTGTATTATACTTCTTTCTCTCTCACGCGATAACTATCTCAGGTCCTTTTTATTGTGTAAGTGTAGATGTTTATTTTTTAGAAGAAAGAATATTTATTAATTTGAAAAAAAAAGATTTTCTACCCTTAGAGTTGTCCAAACAGAACAACTCTAAGGGTAGAAAATTACAAGTATTTTGCAAAAAGAACAACTCTTTTCTATCCCTCGTGGGCTCAGTCCTTTCCCTCTTAGATCCTCTCTTAGGGGCGAGGCTGTTCCAATTCAACACAGTGTGGCCTCTAAACAGAGGAGAATATGACTAGAATTCATAAAAAATCAAAAAGAGAAAGACATCTCTACACACCAGAAGATTCATCAGTGGGCAGGAAACACATCTTTACAGGAATGGCTTTGTCCGGGTCATGTATACACACATAGTTGATAGGTCAGTTTCCCTTTTTGTTACCAATGACCATTGCTTTCTTATCCTACTCTTCAAATAAGTAAAATACCCAATTTAAAATGCATCCCCTTTTCCAAGGGGTATCAGATTTAAGTTACAATGAGGCCCACATTTGACTTTAACCAGAATGAAGCACCCCCCAGCTCTACAGCAGTGGGAAGCTTCAGAAAGGGTTGGGGATGGATGTGGATTGTTTCCTAGGAGTTGATGATAAGGAATCTTAATGGAATCTTGGCAATAAAATAAAAATCGAGCTGAAAGCTGTTTCTCCAATCAAAGTTCGGCTGCCACAATATCATAATGTACCTTGAGAGCTAACTACCAACAAGTTATCATTTGCCAATATTCCACAAATATTTGTGGTAGCAAGATGGCAGTAAAAAACATGAGGTTTGTTTCAGTTTTTTTTAAAACCAGTAATTCATAAAGCTTAATTTCTCTGGTATCCTTCCTTGAATAACTACTCTTGACTTTGGGCTGCAAAGTGCAGATAGCTATGATGAATTTCAATTACATGAAAGGCAAGAAGCAGTCAGCTCTCAGACTCCCATGGAACCCTGAGTCACTGGTAAGGAAATGGCCAACTGGGATCCAGGTACAAGTAGCTACTAGACTGGATGAATCACTGCTGTGACTCACAGGGCCTACAGTGGTTATTTCTATTATAGAATCATGCCCTGTCTTTTCTTAGGCATTATTTTCAAATACATATTACATACCACAAGAAAACTAGTAACATATTAACATAAAAAAACGAATAAGCATTTTAATGGAGGTTAATTTTTTTTTGGAAAACTGTTAATAAGAAAGCAGCACCCTGAGAGAGTAGAATTAAGTCCAGGGGAATCTTGATGGGAGAGGGAAAAGACAGGTTCAATATGTAGAAACCTGCCTTGCATGGGCAATGCTAGGGGTTGTGCCTTGTAGGTCAGAGCTCTGGGATGCCAGGGAGGTAACATGAAGACTGTGGTTGCGGGAAGTGGTGGCTAAAGGCATAGGAAATGACTAGACTGAAAGTGGAGAGTTAAGGCCCAGGGAGAAGTGGTGAGAGGGCATTAATGATAAGCTCTGCCTATATTTCAATTTTATCTCAATAAGTGAATTGCTTGGGGAGCTTGTTAAGATGAAGATTCTGGTGCCATAGGTTTGGGATGAGGCTGGAGTTGCTTCATTTCTAACTAGCTTTCAGATACCAACTGGAACATAGATATTGCTGGAACATGGACTATTCTTTTTTTTTTTTTTTTTTTTTTTTTTTTTGAGACAGAGTTTCGCTCTTGTTACCCAGGCTGGAGTGCAATGTCACAATCTCGGCTCACCGCAACCTCTGCCTCCTGGGTTCAGGCAATTCTCCTGCCTCAGCCTCCTGAGTAGCTGGGATTACAGGCACATGCCACCATGCCCAGCTATTTTTTTGTATTTTTAGTAGAGATGGGGTTTCACCATGTTGACCAGAATGGTCTCTATCTCTTCACCTCGTGATCCACCTGCCTCGGCCTCCCAAAGTGCTGGGATTATAGGCGTGAGCCACTGCACCCGGCCAACATGGACTATTCTTTAACCTTCAATGGCCCACTCTCCCATCATGGTTCCTAGACAAGTCTGAAGCAGTGGTTGGATTCCAGAGACCTGGTCCTAGTCCTGACTCTGCCACTTGCTAGCTGTATTACCCAAAAAAAAAAAAAAAAAAAAAAAAAATGGACTTCTTTCAGGCCTTCATCATCTGTGGCTGTTTTCTTCAAGATTGCTTCTCTTCAGGCTAGGGTGGGGCCAGCACTGGGTGTGTGTGCCTTCTCAGGTAAAGCTCCTGGGATATATGAATTCCCTGCATGGAGTGGAAGTGCTGGGGACTGCAGCAGTTGCTCCTCTCATCCTTTTTCACACTGTCAGCAGAGCCCAGTTTGTCTGCCATTTCTATTGAGCTGGAAGCTGTTGCTACCGTGACATCTTATTCTTTCTCTCAACCATACATTTGCCTGAAGAAGAGAATACACAAGAAGATCTGGGAGGCAAAGGGGCTCTAAACTTCATGTCAGAGAGAGACTCTAATGTGTTGATGTTCTTGCAAAATTAAAAGTGGCATTTCATAGTACTTACACATCATATAGAATTTTACAAATATGAGAGAACAAGGCTTTTTCTCTAAGCTAGAGTTAAGAGTCTATAACATTTTTAAGTGGCAAAACACTTATGTTCCATGAAATTATTTCTTTGTTTCTACTCTTTCTTAAAAAAGAATTTGAGGTGGCAGGTCTTGCTGTCCATTGGGGAGATTATTGAAGCTGACCATGGAGAAACCAGTTTCCTGATGCTGCACAATTCTGGGAATTGAAAGTGTGGATGTCTGTTATTATCTTGATTCCATCAACCAGGAGGGAGACGACTGCTCACCCTCATGCCTTCATGTTTTTCAGAAACCATTCTTTCCCTTTTCCCAGGAAGACTAGATGGAGCAGACCCATCATTGCACTGTCTGCCTTTACATTCAACATCATTGAATTACAGGCTCTGATAATCTTCCATGGCAATGTGATTTCTCTTGATTGCTTCTCATAAATTTTGATGAGAAAAATGCAGGCATGGGAATCATTGTCTTCTATCTTATTTCCTTTCTACAGAAAATCTCTAAGATAAATTCCATTTCCTTGTGGCAAGAGGAGGCATTCCGTGGGCTTAGAGATATATTCACTGTGAAGGAAAAGGTTGCCTTGGGACACTTTATCCTCTGGCCACATTCCCTGTGTGTTTGATCATTTCAGCACCATTGTTTTCTCAAGTGATGTGAAGCCAACATTTACTTCCCCCACCATCTGCTATGCTAATGGTCCCACTGGCTCTTTGAATGAAGCTACTGCCAACTTGAGACTATGCAGGTCACAAGTAATATAGGCCACATAATTAAATACACACTATTTTGTACTATCTCCTGGGATCTCATACAGTGTAAAATATTACTGACTGCAACGTGGGTATATTTGTCTGTCATTTTCAGAAACTGAAAAACAGTATGTCAGTAGCTAAATTACTTCTCTTCAGTGAGAATTTTTCTTTCGATCCAAGAGGTTGACACTCACTTCAGATATTCCACTCCATCGGGGGTGGCTGGAACATTGTATCTTCTCATATATTCATGCATCTCTGGGAAACTCTGTCTCACGTAATCTTCAGCACTGCTTTCTCGGACAGTTCCAAAGCGGAATCCTTGGGAGGGATGATGCAGCTGTGAGGGAGCAAAAGAAAAGGCTTATATAAAAAATTATTCTTAGAACTGTTTTTAACATTTTTCCATAATTCTTTGAAACTTGATAATAGTTCAGAACCTTTTTTTTCTTTTTTTAAGTCTATAAAGATATTGCTTTTTCCGAGATAATTCAGAACTTTTCTAACACCCACAGGCAGAAGCATGTACATAGAAATGTGCAGACATGGGTACATGCTTTTTAACATCAGAAGTTGTTTTATCTTTAGAAGTAAGCAGATGAAAACAACAAACAAAAATACAAAACATTTGTTTTTGTTTTATATTGAGAACCTATTAGAATTCTTTAGAAGTTGTGCAAATTGGCATGTAGAATCAGTTTCATTATTGTAAATTGCATATCAGACAGGATATATTCATAATAAAGATTATGATACTCCTCGGTTAGAATGACACAAAGGCCAAGTTAAAACCTTGCATTCTGAGATTATAATAAACATGCCCTAATGCTGTGACTACATCACTTTTGTGTTTAGCCATTTTTATGCTATATTAGATTCTGTTTATTGAATTTATTTTTGGTGTTATTATAAAATGCTCTCTTTCCTTTAAATAACTGTATTATCCAATGCTGAGTCATGCTGTATATTTGCTCAAATGGAATGGTATGTAAGATAATTTGGAGTAACAGAGGGGAGGGTGGCAGGAGTAGACCTAATAATTTCATAGGTTTCCAGGATGCAAGACACCTCACCATGTGTATTAGTCAGTTCTCACACTGCTATGAAAAAATACCTGAGACTGGGCAATTTATCAAGAAAAGAGGTTTAATTGACTTACAATTCTGTATGGCTGGGGAGGCCTCAGTAAACATAAAATCACTGCAGAGGGCACCACTTCACAGGATGGCAGGAGACAGAATGAGTGCTGACTGAAGGGAGAAGCTCTTTATAAAACTATCAGATCTCATGAGAACTCACTCACTATCACGAGAACAACCCTGTGATTCAATTATCTTCACCTGGTCCCTCCCATGTGTAATTCCCTTACACATGGGAATTACGGGAACTACAATTAAAGATAAGATTTGGGTGGGGACACAGCCAAACCTTGTCACTGAGAGAAAAGAGTGTGCAGTCCTGCAGAGACTGTCTGTCATTAAGGAGAATAAAAATACACCACATGAAACATTACTATTCAATGGAAGTTCTAGAGAAGCATTCATGTATAATCTAAAGCATGGACTATTTAAAAAAATGAGAATGAACTGCAATTGGGCCACATTATTGTGGTCAGCAATACTTCAGAGATGATACATCTCCACAATAATTACAGTCAAGTCTTTGCACATTTTTGTTTTGCTTGATATTAACATATTTTATATAATTAGTTCTGATGTGAATCCCTGGGGACAGAAATCTGTGGATGGGCTTCATGGAGTTTATAAACCTCCTGAAATAGTAGGCAATAGTTTTTGTAAACATGTTTGTAATTTTCATCTAAGAGGGAGATAATACAGAGTATTTTTTAATAATTAGGTTTTTAATCATTATCCTGAAAATGATTAAGAACTCACTGAATATGGTGACAATAACATATATTTGAAGATGAATTAGTTTTGGCACCCAGTAAAGGTCTAACAATATGGTAATAGTTAAATAAATTATATGGTATATTCTTATAGAGTGTAAAACAACATATAAATCACGTTCATAAAGTATGCTTCATAAAACAATGCTCATATGACCGGTGGAAAAAAGCTTTTATATGGTCTAATCGAAATTAAATACATATACATTTATTTAAATGCTATGATTTCCCATATATATTATACATACACACACACACAAATGCACACATACCTTGGAAGAAAACCCACTGGAGTTGAATTTACAAATGTTTTTTTATTTTCAGATTATCTGTGGAAACACTTTGTTTGTTAGTAGAAAAAATTGTTATTTTAAAATTAGCCAAATCACTCATTTATGTATTCAACATTTATTGAAGGCCTACTCGGTACAGCTCTCAAAGTTACCAGGGCTCCAAGATAAATACCTGCAATCACTGCCATATAGGAACTCTCACAGCCTGGTTGTTCATTATATTTCTTTGGTATCCCACTGTTAAGTAGGCAACATAACTTACTCTGACTTTAATGTAATTGTTCCACACACTGAACAAATTCTAATGCTTTATGCCAGCATAACCTTAATGCCACATCAACAATACTAACAATATTTAACATCTATTAAACACTTATCATGTTCCAAACATGGAACTTAGAGCCTTACATGCATTATCCTGCTGAATCCTCATAATAGCTTCACAAGGAGGGCACTGTTGTTGCTTCCTACTAGGATGAGTAAACTGAAGCTCAGAGAAGTGAAATAATGGGCATAAGATCATGCAGTTATAAGTAGCAGGAACTGGCTCAGAACCCATGTCTATCTTATTTCAAAGCATATGCTATTACCTACCATATCATCTTGCATTCTAGCTCATGACAACCGAAGTGACGATGTTTATTAGGAGGAACTCACCAAGCTTTTAAAGCCTTGAACTTTATGCCTTGAACCCCCTGGGCTGTTCTCATAGTAGCAAACTGTAGTCCTATGGCTTGAGCAAGGCAAATATATCAGCATTGTCTGTCCAACGCCTATGAACTTTTCAAGACCTAGGTCAACATTTTCCATGTAAAGTCATTGGTTTTGTCTAACTTCACCCTCCTACCCAGAACAAAAACAATGAAAAAATTAACTACTTATTTATCTGTGCTGATATGGTAGCTTGTGCATTCAAAATATATAGGCAAATATTTATTTAAGCAATCTTTGGCCTTTCCATGCATTATCTCCTTTGATCCTACCAAGAAATGTGAGGTAGATATGTCTATCATCTTTTTACATAAAGAAATTGAAGACCAGAAAGTTTGTCATTTGTCCAAAGTCACAGAACTAGTAATTGTACCTGGGATTTGAATTCAGCCTGATCAAAGGCATTCAGCTTTTGACAACTGTGGAACACTGTTTCTGATACTAGGTCATACCGACTCCTTCAGTCTGGTCATTACAAAATTTGCTACTCATACCAGGCAGTGAGCTAAGGGCTTTAAAAAATTTTACAATAATCTTACAACATAGATGTTATTTTCTTACTTTGCTGATTAAAACACTGAGGTTTGGATAGTTAAAGTAACACCAACTTCTCATGACTAGAAATTAAGCTTCAGCTATTTTCCCTAACTTGCAGACTAAGTTTCATTTGTTTGTGTAATACAGTTACCTATCACGACCCTTGGCACCTGGCAGATAGTCTGTATCTGTCTGTCAAGTTAATTCATTTTATCTAGTCTCTTTTTCTATCCTGCTTTATTCATTTAATTTATATGCATTCTTCTGCTCTCAGTTCAGTAATTACTTCCCTAACTTATTGTATAGGCTAGATTCTTTTTTTGTAAGCCCTTATGGTACATATACCTTATCTTTTGTGGAACCTATCACAGTTGCAGTTTTAAATTTCATTGTGTAATCATGTGATTAGTGTCTAGACTCTCAGTTTCTTCACTAACTGGAAGCTCCATGTAAACAAGAATAGTATTAACATATCCCTGTATTTCTAATGCCCTTCATTGTGCAGTTAAAAAGGCTTGATGAGTAATTAATTGATAACTATTCTTTGAACTTAGAGGAAGGTGAGAGTTTTGTCATCTCACTTAGCACAAACTATGCTAACAGTATAGCTTATAACTCAAGCTTTCTAAATAAACTCTCTCTTTAAGGTGAAAGGTTATAGAATCATTAATTAAAATACATTTCTATCATATAGAAACAGAATTTCTTCCAGAAGTACATTTCTTTACATCATGTTATGAGAATACTTTTATGGCCTATGACCTGTTTCAGGGAAACCCTGCTTTTCTGGGTATTTTTTCTCTTCAGAATGCACTAGCACATTATTCCTTCCCGAAGCATGGAAGGAGTCAGGGAGCCTGCAGACCTATGCTCAGAATTCCAGTGGAGGACTGGTTCTTTGCGTTTTTGCTTTCCATGACTTTCTCTTGCGTTTGCTCATCAGCTCCTCATCGACTCTGTGAAGGCAAAGGTTCTCAGGTTCTGAGAATGAAAAGTTCTTTCTGGGGTTAGCAAATAACCAGACTCCAGAAGAGAAAGCATTTTATTAGCCTGACAGGGACCTCACTCCAACGTGGATTTGTTTTGCAAACACTGCCACTGCTCTTGTTTGAGTCACTGTCATTTCTGCCTTTCACATATTCCCTTTCTTCCTTTCTAATCCACTCAGAGAAAATTTAGAATTCAAATATGATCATGTCCCTCACTTGCTTAATACCCATCAGTGCTCCCCATGGCCCTGGGGATGAAGTCGAAGCTCCTCACTTGGCCTCTAGGGTTCCTCATGTTTGATTCCTGCCTTCCTTTCCCTAGGCTTGTCATCCTGCTCTCCTTGTGGCCTTCCAAGCATTGCCAGTTCTCTCATTTCCAAAACATACATTTTGCTTGATCAGAGCTCTTGCATATAAGTCTTCAATCTGCCTGGGACACTCTTCTTCCTCATCCCTACTCTTTTTTTTAATTGTACTTCAGGTTCTGGGGTACATGTGCAGATCATGCAGGACTGTTGCATAGGTACATACATGGCAAGGTAGTTTGCTGCCTCCATCTCCCCATCACCTATATCTGGCATTTCTCCCCCTGTTATCTCTCCCCAACCTCCCCATCCCACATTGTCCCTTCCCTAGCCCCCCACCCTCCACCTTAACAGACTCCAGTGTATGATGATCCCCTCCCTGTGTCCATGGCCAATTAACAAACAGGCTACCAACCAAAAAAAAAAAAAGTCCAGGTCCAGACTGGTTCACAATCGAATTCTACTAGACTTACAAAGAGGAGCTGGCACCACACTCCTTCTGTAACTATTCCAAACAATACAAAATGAGGGAATCCTTCCCAAATCATTTTATGAGACCTCATCCCTACTTCTTTGTCTAGCTAACTCTTAAATGT